AAGAAGAAAGAATAGAAGAAACCTCATGTGCCTGTAAAAAGGGTTTGCTTTGCTTTGTTTTGTTTTGTTTTTATTTGATGCAATTTGGAAAGTGCATTCTTTTTATGTGTATTCAAAATAACTCAGTAAAAATTTAAAATAGATTAGCTTTAAGTTACAAATATAAGCAATCGAATTAGTTATTTGAAAAATTCTTATGTATGTTTGTTATAAGGCGTCAAAATTAGGAATATTACTATAATAAATCCAGGAATCTAGAAGGAATGTGAGAGTTATTAAAACATACAGCATATGGTTACTTTTATTGTGAACAAAATTGAAAAAAAGATTGACCCACACGATGGCAAAACTGACTAAAGTTGAGAGTAGCTATGATGATTTATACTACAAAAGTACCGTATATTGTGGGGTGCAGTGGCAAAATTCTTAAAGTGAGGTTTAAATCAAGGGCAGGTGCTGAATATCTTCGTTTGATCATTTTAGTAAGGATACAGTGAAGGAAGGAAGAGCACGTTTAAGTAATTTATATCCATGTTTATTTTTCTACTACTACAAATCCCACTTTGTGTGTCACATTCCCTTACGCGATCATTAACTAGAACAGAAGAATATGCATCCAAAGGATTTTGTATTTTGCACTCAGTATTGTGCTTATCTGTTTTCTTTTTCAATATTCTATACTTTCATCATTGTCTAACAATATATGGCTGTAGACTGTATGTAGATTGTATGCAAGCAACCCTCAGATTCCTTCCAAATCTGGTGGAACTCTAGCTCCGGGGCGAGCACCAGGGCATGGTCCACTGGAGGAGCCTCACTGAGCCTCAGGCTGTACAAGGGGCCCCTGGACAGTGGCATGGACTGCCCAGAGCCCTGGGCAGCGGAGGTCAAGCACCCAGCCCGGCTCTTGAGCTCCCACGGCACATTTTATGGTTAAACAGCACTAAGTAAATTACTACTACTATTTTACTTTCTTAAAATACACACTTTTAATATTGCTTTAAGCAGTGCTAGTGATGCTTTACAATAGCTGTCTTTGAGAGTTTTCTTGTAAACCACCCTGGATTTCTCAAAAACTTTTAATTTCAAATTAGATGTTGATTTAATAAATTAGGCAGAAGAAACAAATACATCTAAATCCCAGACCTACTGCCTCCTAGGCGCATACACCAGAGAAAATAAGGCATTGCATTTCTAGCCAGCATAGCATAGGATGATGGGAACTGTGGTTCATGACACCCAAAATATATTAGTTTGGGTAAGGCTGGATTAAATTATAAAAGAGCAGATGAAGGGAAGTATTTTTGTCTTTAACAAAATAATTGGGGGGGGGAGTTGACTGGGCCTTTTAATTTCAACTCACACCAATTTCTCTTAACTTGCCATTCAATCCAAAGAGTTCTATTATTGCCTGGATTTTAGGGAGGGGAGGAGGCAAGAATAGACCACAAAGCTAATCTGCAAGTTTGCTCTTTCGCCTGCCCGCATACCACCTTCCTGTGTGTGTGTATGTGTGTGTGTGTGTGTGTGTATGTGTATGAGCGTGTGTATGAGCACGTGCGTGCGTGTGTGAGAGAGATCCCCTTTTTGTAAGTTTCTCTCTCTCACACACACACACACTCACACACACACACACACACAGGTTAATAAAAAAGAGAAGGTGGAAGCTCTCCTTTTTTGTAAAACCTTGGCTTCCTCCTCCTCTTCCCCTCCTGGCTCTCTCTCTCTCTCTCTCTGTCTCTATCATGCTAGGGATACTTCCACTTGATCCATTGCCAGATTAAAAAAAAAAACCCGGGCACAAAGCGAATCCTGCTGCAACATTTGAGAAGGCTACAAAAACCGCCCAAATAGCTCCTTATCACGTGTCAGCCCCCAACGAAGGTAGGGCGGTGCTTTTCTAATAAAGCCTGCAAGGGAGAGTGGCAGCTGGAACTTCCAACCGCTTTTCGCCAGGGGAAGCCAGAGGCAGAGCCTCGTGAAAAGGAGACGTGGGATTCGGGAGGTGTGCGTGATTGACAGAGGCACAGCTCAATGGGCGTGCGGTAGCTCCCCTCGGCTTTCCCACCCCTCTCCAACCATGAGCGGGGTTTTTAACAATGGGAAGAAAAGGCGGTGGAAGCAGGAAAATGGCAGCGGCGTTTTCGGGGAGCGGCGGTTCGCGGCAGGGCGCGGCGCCCACGGCCTCCTTCCCGGCGCTGCTGCTGCTGCTGCTGGCGGTCCTTTCGTCCCTGCGTGAGTCGAAGCGCGTTTTCAGTATCGTATCGGGCGCCGTGGAACGGGGGGGGGGGGAAGCGGAGGGAAAGGAAGCCAGCGCCGGAGGAAGGAGAGGCTTCTTCCTCCGCGGAGACCCGCTGCCTTCTTAGCCAGACCGGGCGTGGGCCGGAGGTGGAGGCGGAGGACCAGTTATCCGCCGACGCCAGTTTGCGCTTTGGGGGGGGTTCTTTTGGGGAAACGGGCGCACTAGGCTGACCGCTGGGCGAAAGGCGAAGGAGTGGAGGGCAAGGCTGCTTTTGTGGGGTGGACGGGGAGGCTGGATAGGAGCTCTAAGCAACTCACACACACACAGCCCAGTAACATATTGACAGGATGCCTCGTTTGCTTCCTTGTAAATGAAGGGGAGAGCAATAAATGTACTAAGGGTCAGGAGAATGGTGCCTGTGTACATTTTAATCGCTTTGCAAAACAATCTAGAACTGAACCTACTATAGATGTTAGTGGGTGTTCTCTGTCTCGCACCTACAAACACACACACCCCGTTTCCCGTTTTGAATGCTCTATCCCCCTGTCCTTTTTGTTAGCACGTCCGCGACACAGTTCAATTGCACAAATAACGGGGATGTTCTGACTGGGGAAAAGCGGGGTGTGCAAAGGTAGAAAGAGTTGCTACATTCTGGAATGAATACACTACATATAAGCAGCATATTACTTCAGAGTAATCATAAAATAATATTTCATCATCTGAAAAGAATAATGTCAGCCAGCTCTCCCAATTGGATGCTCAACTGTGGTGTGCTGTAATTTTCTTATCTCTTCTGGCCAAATGAGTTGTTGCAACTCATCCTGAATATACTAGTTTTAAGAAGAGGTTGCGAGCTAACGGTTTCTGGGAATTTAAACTTCAGATTCTTAAAAACTGGATCACAAATGTCAACCTACTTATTTTTATAGAGAAGTTCACAAAAAAGCTAAAGCCTAATTTGTGTACTAATCTGGAATGTTAACATGCTATTTGTTTTGGTTTAATCATTGGTGTTCCCTAGTTAGAAAAAATTAGTGACATTTTTTCAAACTAAAATGCTCTCTGAGAGCATGCGAAAATAAAACATGCATTTTAGAATATCAAGATCCTGCAATTATGATTCTGAAATCTGTTGTTTTCTTAAGCTTCACAGTGACTGGGTGGAGTTTTTGAGAGTAAACATTGTTTTTTCTCTCTCTCTAATTTCAGAAAACTCAGTGTTGCATTGAAATATTTTGTTACATTGTTTTTCAGAGGAAGTTGACTGGGTACTGAAACAATTGCTTTCTCTAGTTGTGTGTGTGGTGTTTTGATTCTATGGGTTTTTCATTAGAAAACATTTTTGGATGTTGCAACGTTTTTCTGGAGAAGGAGGATTAACTTGTTTGCCAGTTTCTAACTTTGTTACTAAGTTTTCTTCAGTATTTCAGAAACAGTATTTCGTGGGATACCATTGCTTGTAAAACAGCAACAAACTCCAAAGCATTTTAGGTAGCTTCTTATCAACATCCAAGTATAAATTTTGAAACTATATTCAAGTCTTTATTAGTCAGAAAGTGTAAGCCTTTGATTCTTATAATCTCTGGTTTGACAAAATGGGAGGATTCTTCCCAAAGATTGCTAGATGTTGCATTGAAATGTTCACATGTATTTCCCTGTTTGATTTTCTAATACTGGTATACACATAAATACATTCTGCATTCATTGAACGTGGGATTTTTTTTTCACCTTTATCTCCAAGTATGTCACTAGCTGACTATAATTTTTGAAAGAAAAATACCATTGTATTTGTTTCAGAGTGCTGATTTATAGAATGCCAGTGTTCAGTATTGATATTTCTATTGTGACAATATTAGGCATACTTGGTTTATGATTCTGAATCCTATATACCTTTTTAACATCAAACCAATGTGCCATGTGCCTTAATCCACCCACATGATGAGCACCAATGCTACATGTCGTTGTCATTTGCTATTTTGTTGGATACCTTCTAGCCTGGGGTGGGGGTTCACAGTCTGTAGTGACTGTTTACACTGATTGTGAATGTTTATTTACTCTCTTTCATGGGAGTGGGTTTCTACTTACTTTTCCAATGGATCATATTTAGTGTGATCTCTTGTATATGACCCATGGCCATTGGCGATCTTTCTAGGAATTTAACTCACAACAATTGAACATACAGAAATTTAAATCTAACTTGGTATATATATCCCCTGAGGTCTCCAGTGTTTTTTTAACAGTTTAAAACAGTTTTTAATTTGATGAAGAGGTGACTGTTAAATTTCATATTTGGTTTTTGGTTTTCCAAAAAAACCAAGATGCCTTGGTGAGGAATGGATTGTAGAAAGAAAACTGTAATATGATCAAGTCTATTATGAATCACAGTTGAATAGAACCACACATCACACTAATTATAATTCATTTTTATTTGGCAAATATTGGAAATTGCCATTGTATAATGGCATTAGACACATATTCAACACTTTCAACTAGAAATGTTGTTCTGCCAGCCAGCTGTGAAAGCAGATTGAAAAGAAAGGACTAAACTGAGTTTGATAGAAATGTAGTCACAAAATAGAATATANATGATGGGAAAATAAAAAATTGATACCAGAAGGAAATCATGTAATAGTAATAATTATCAGTTCAGTATTGTATGAGTTGAGTTTTAAAGAAATTTAGATTACCGGTAGTTAAGAAATAGGGGAAAGCAGGTTTTTAATAGAGCATATTTTTTGTGTTTTTGATTATAGTTGTTCTATTATTCCAATGGAAAAGCATATCGTGCGAAGAGTACACAATTTGGTGACAGAAGCAGATGGGCTGGAGACCTTAACAGAAAAGATGCATCAATCACTATAGCAAACATGCAATTTCAGGACAATGGAACCTATATCTGTGATGTTAAAAACCCTCCAGATATAGTTGTTACAGAAGGAAAAATCAAAGTCAGGGTTATGGAGAAAGGTATAGTAATAAGTGGATGGAATGAAAAATTAATTAATGAGTGATGGAGAAGTTGTGCGTAAGTTGCATTCTTTCTCTAAAATTAGTGTATGTAACAATGCGCTGAAGCAAGTACTTGTTTGGCAACAATTAAGAAGTGTGTGTTCATGTTTCTTCTGTCTATCTCTTCTAGTATAAGTAAGATAATTTGACTAGGGGCAAAAATAGTTATTCCTTTCAGATTTGTTCTGCAAGTTGAACTGGGCTGGGCAGATATTAATAGGCAAATGAAATAATGCTCCAGATGGTTGCCTACAAACAGGTGTAGGTAACCTACTATCTTTCAGGTATTCAGATATAATTTTTATAATGATGTAAGTATCATTTGTTCAGTGTCACTGCATCTTCAAAGAGTCATTGGACAAGTAGTTAACCGAGGATTACCTGTAACCAGATGGATCCGTAGCTGGCTGACCGGCCGTACTCAATGGAACCACATCTACATGGAGGGAAGTGTGTAGTGGGGTGCCCCAGGGCTCTGTTCTGGGCCCAGTGCTCTTCAACATCTTCATCAACGATTTGGACGAGGGGATAGATGGGGAAATCATCAAATTTGCAGATGACACCAAGCTGGCAGGAATAGCCAACACTCCAGAAGACAGGCTTAGGATACAGGAGGATC